GCAGCCGCGCTGTCGGCGCTGCTGGCTCGCCAGGCTACAGAAGGCATGCCCGCGGGTGCCCGCCGGAAGCTTCTCGGGCCGGACGAAAGGGGGGGATTGGGAAAGGGGGGGTTACGAAATTTGCTGCATGCAGCTGGTTTCGGCCCCGCCGAGGGGCCCATTCCTCGATACATAGTCGCCTCCGGCGCCTGGAGGCGCCGGGAAAATCAGCTACGTGAGCTGATTCTCAAACCCCCCCGTTTGCTATCCCCCCCTTTCGCCCGACCCGAGCTTCGTATCCCCCGATGGCCCTGGGACGCACGGAAGTTCCGGGGCACCGTGCGGTTGGGAGTTTGGGCCGAGTGTGCCGCGTCGCTGGTTCTGGCCCGCCGCGCTTCGGCGCGACACGCTGGGCACGTCCGTCCCTAAGCGTCGACGTCCCTAGCTTTTCCCAGCCCGCCCCGCGGAGCGGAGCGACGCGCTACCCGTTTGCACGGCATAGCTTGTCGCCAGTACCGCCGCCGCGACACGCCAAGCACAAGGTTCCGACCGCTTCCCCCTATGGCCCCAAGGACCCACAGAAACTCTGGGGCGCGTCGAGACCCTGAAGCATCGACGAGCAGTGTGCCCTACTGCTTCTCACGGCAAGGTTTCTCTACGCATCGTAAGTATTTGCTGGTTGTGGTCGTGTGTGTCTACTCTGATGGGCCCGTTTTCCACCACCACCACCACAAGCTGGAGGAGGAGGGGGTCCTCCTCCTCCCTCTCCCCCTCCCCCTCCTCCTCCTCCTCCTCCTCCTCCTCCTCCTCCTCTTCGTCGTCGTCGTTCTCCTCCTCCTCCTCCTCCTCCTCCTCCTCCTCCTCTTCGTCCTCCTCCTCCTCCTCGTCGTCTTCGTCCTCCTCCTCCTCCTCCTCTTCCTCCTTGTCCTCCTCCTTCCCCCCTCCAACTTATGGTGGTGGTGGTGGTGGTGGAAAACGCGCCCATCATCTGCTGTGTTCGCGGGGGGCGGGGGCGCGGCCTGCGCTCTGCGCTCGGCGGCCTGGGCCGGGCAGTGCCGCGCCCTCCTCCACGGACTCGGCGTGCGAGGGCGAAGATCGGCCTCGCCCTGCGCAGACCGCGCGGCGCGAGGCGCGGCCTCTGGCAGCTGGGGCTCGGCTTGGCTTGGCGACTCGGCTGTGCCTCCTCTCCCTTCCCTCCGAGAGAGCGCCCAGAGCAGAGAGAGGTGCTCCTCAAGCCGGTCGTCGAGAAGGTGGCGAAGACCGTGCAGATCCCCAGGCCCGAGGAGCACATCGTGGAGGTGCCCGAGGAGCACGTCGAGACACGAGAGGTCGTGGTGCCCCAGGTGACTCCTCGTGGCGAGTTTCTTGTGTCCTTCTCCTGCTTTCAGGGGCTTCCGGGCCGTCGCCCTGAGTTCCGGGGCTGAGCGCACCCCACGAGAAGACCAGTTGCCGATTCTGACGAGGAGGAGGAGGAGGAGGAAGAGCAGGAGGAGTAGTGTGAGGAGGGTGAGGAGGATGAGGATGATGATGAGGGGATGAGGGGATGAGGGGATGATCATGACGATGATGATGATGATGCTGATGGTGGTGATTCTTCTGATGATGCTAATGGTGATGAGGATGATGACGATGACGGCTAGGAGGAGGATGATGACGACGATGACGATGAGGAGGATGAGTACGAAGATGCTGGTGCTGGTGATGGTGATACGATGATGGTGATGATGCTGTTGGTGATGACCTGGAGGAGTAGGATTATTACAATGATAATGATGGTACTGATGATGATGCTGTTGCTGATGATGCTGTTGATGATAATGTTGACAGTGAGGGTGATTGTGATGATGGTGATATGGTTGTGATAGTGACGGTGATGATGGGGATGATTCTGCTGGCGACGATGATGATGCCTGTGATGATGATGATGTTGATCGTGATGATGATGATGATGTTGGTTTGATGATGACGATGAGGATGGTGATGATGATCACGAGGAGGCGGAGGACGCGGAGGATTGGGACGATGATGGCGGTGATGATAATGCAGATGATGATGACGACGATGGTGAGTCTGATTCTGATGTTGTTGCTGGTGACTATCATGTTGAAGTCGATGAGGGGTATGCTGATGCTGATGATGAGGAGGACGATGATGGCGGTGGGGACGGTGATGCTGATAATGAGGACGATGATGCTGATGACGATGCTGATGCTGATGATGACGAAGATGCATATGATGATTCTGATGATGATGATGATGGTGATGGTGGCCGTGAGGCGGAATATGATGATGCTGGTGATGGTGATGGTGATAGTGATGGAAATGGTGATGATGATGATGATGATGGTGATGATGATGATGATGATGATGCTGATGATGATGCTGATGATGATGATCAGGCTGAGGAGAAGGCTGATGATGGTTTTGACCATGGTGATGGTTACGACGATGATAATGATGCTGATGATGATGGTGAGGGGGGATGAGTATGATGATTGGAATGGTGGTGTTGATGGTCATT